TGACTATTGTCAGCGTAACAATGAAAAAAGATCCAATGCTTTCTAAGGATTGATCCCAATGGAAGCAGGTAATGGGAGAAAAGCAGGGGACCTAAAATAGAGCCCTGTGGAACCCCAAAACACAGAGGAGCAGTGGAGGATTCAGACCCAGCTATGTTGACAGACATGATTCTGTCTGCCAGATAGGACCTAAACCAGCTCAGTGCAGTACCACAAATACCCACATGGTGCTGTAAGCGTGATATTAAAATGGTATGGTCCACGGTATCAAAGGCAGCTGTTAGGTCCAGCAGGACAAGAACCACATGTTCACCAGAATCATTAGCCATAAAAATATCATTAAAAACTCTGACTAGAGCTGATTCTGTGCTGTGGCGAGTTTTGAAGCCAGACTGAAAAACCTCCAGGATATTGTGCTCATCCAGAAAACATTTGACTTGTGAATATACAATTTTTTCTAAAATTTTTGAAAAAAAAAGCAGCTTGGAGATGGGCCTAAAATTAGCCAAGACAGTTTGGTCTAGGCTAGGCTTTTTAAGCAGGGGCTGCACCACAGCATGTTTAAAACGTATTGGGACAACACCTGAGGACAGACTGCTATTGATAACGGCAAGAATCACCTGCCTGATGCTGGAAAACACCTCTTTTAAAAGACGAGGGGGGACAAGGTCACAAGGAGAACCTGATGGTCTAATATGGCCGACCACATCCTCTAAAAGGGTCAGGGTCACTGGTTCAAATCTATCAAACACAGTCAGGCAGGGGACCAAGCAGGAGGGGTCAAAAGCAGGGGCTGAAATAAGAGCCCTTGTGGTAACAACCTTATTTATAAAAAACTGCAGGAAGTCGTTACAAAGTTCAGTAGAGGCTTCCAGACAGACAGGTTGTGGGGCCTTCAGGACAGAGTCAATAGTTTTAAAAAGGACACGTGGATTATTATGATTGGACACAATAATATCTGACAAGTGTTGTTTTTTGGCCTCTTTAACAGTGTTCTGGTACTGACGTTGACAGTCCTTTAATGCCCCTTTTCCACCGTCACGGCGCGGGTCGGATATTTCCGGCTTGAAGCGCGTTTGAGGTCTTTCCACTGTTCCTGTGACCGGCTCGCCTCGCTAAATTCTGGCCCGGCTTCTCAAGGGTTCCGAGCGAGCCGTGCCGTGACGTCAGAAACACTGTCGGTCACTGAATGGTCGGGGGGAGGAGTCTGTGGAGTCGTTCCAAACAACCCGATCCACCATTTTTTTCTCTACCGCTTGCCATTAGCGATAACACGAGGAGCGTATCTTGTAGTATTTTGAAGCTATACAACAACAATAATATCAAAGCCGTGGTCAAATGCAGAAGTGCAGGTGTTGTTGTGCTTGGTGGCCGACGAAAAAAGTCAAAGCGAGTTAGATGGAGGATTGGAGGGTGGTTTGGACACGACCACTGCTCTACTTGAATCATTTATAGAAGATGGTGAGTGTTTTCTAACTTTAAACATATTTTAAATTACTCATCCCATCGGTTCTGAACATATTTTTAACTAACAAAAGAGGCTGACGCCATAATAGTACAACGTCGGTGCTACGATGCTAAGCTAATTTGCATAAATGCTAACTGTCCTCCGGTCCCGTTTCTCACTGTATTTTATCCAGAACGTATTTCAGCGCGTGATGGTTCATCTCTAAACTCCACATTAAACCCTCCAAGCCTCCCGGCTTCTGCTCCTGCTCCATCAGAGGAGTCTACACCTGACAGAGCTCCATCACAGCCCAGCTGCACCTCACAGAGCAGCACAACGCTGCAGCTTCTGTGCTCGGTAAGAACAGATGCAACTGTTCCACATCACTTTATTTGTGCCGATAAGGACTTGATTTATTTTATTTTTAAAGTAAAAAACTAAAATGTTGAATAAATACTGAATTGGGATGAAATTATGTACACAGGGTCCCAGTTACAGACAACAAAATGTAAAATAAAAACAGTAATAAGATCTAAGATATGAATTAAGAAAAATATCAACTAAAAAACATCTACTAATAAAACACTAAGCACTAATAGCAGTAAACAATCAAAACAATACGTCAAACAGCAACATGAACTTGAGTTTGTGCAGCCTCATGAATATATAACACTGTGAAGAATCACATCATGTAGCTGCTGATCAGTTTCATGTTGCTGCTGATCTGTTTCATGTTGCTGCTGATCTGTTTCATGTTGCTGTGTTCATTCGTGCTCATCTGTTCACACAGACTCATGTCCGTGCTGCTGTTCTGCGTATTGTGTTTAATGTTTTTATGCTATTAGAGCTTATCATATTTTTAGTTGATGTTTTTATTAGTTCATATCTTAGATCTTATTACTGTTTTTCTTTTATATTTTATTGTTGGATGTAACTGGGACCCTGTGAACATAATTTTGATCATCCACCACATGGACCACATGTGGTGCGAATGACAATATCTGCATCTGTATAATACTTTCTGATTCATATATCCATTATTATCATTTTCATTATTTTTAAATCAATTTATTTTTCATTTTCTTATTTGATCAGTTTATTATTATTAATATATCTATTATAGCTGTTAGCAGCACCTTTCTTTGTTTCATGCATTTATTCAAAAACAGTATGTAGCTTGAATTAACCACTTTTTCTTCTTTCTAGTGAAGAGAAAGAGAAAAGAGTCCAGTAAAGAAAAGTCTTATTTCATCACTGAATGAACATGAAGAACTGAACCGGACACAGCAGGAACAACACCTGTGTCTTCTTCTGGATGAAGCCCGTGAGACAAGGGACAGACAGATACACAATCATTAGTTGGACGCAGTAGTTTTTATTTTTGTACATTTTTCACTTCTTACTTTTCATATTAAACAATTTTTTTCTTAAGTGGTGTCCTTGAACATTAAATTTCCTAAACAAATTTTACAATGTTAAGTTCATATAGTGTTTGTTTAAATTCATACTGGAAGTTGAGAAGAATTTCCAATTGCATTTGATCTTTAATGAATCCTAAGAAAAGATTACTAGAATCTGCTCAACTGTTATTATGTTATAATTTTTTGGTTCTAGGATGAAGTGACACAAAAACAGTCAAAAATTCAGAAAGGACAGTTATCAATTATCAGTCATCAGTTATCTTTTAGCAGTTATCGTTTATCGTCCATACAACTGTGGCCTGAGAGATTCAGCTGAAAGTCCTGGTGCACCTTTTATTTGAACCTGCAGAGATTTGAACAGCTGATCTGAAGCAAACAGGCAGGAGTTCACCTGAACTGACCACTCCTGCTGTTTGATGGTCTCCTCCTTCGCCACCCGTCCATCCATCCATCCATCCATCCATCCATCCATCCATCCATCCATCCATCCATCCATCCTCTTCTGCTTCAGGGTTGTGGGAGCAGCATCTTTACCAGGGAGGCACAGACATCAACAGCCACCTCTTCGACTCTTCTAGGACCCCATGGTGTTCACAGACCAACTGACTATTTATTAATTAATATCCTGATGCTGCTCATCCAGGTAGAAAAATCTAAAAAGTTAAATCTGGTCCTCTGGACATTCACAAAACAAACAATACAGTTTTTAATAAATAAACTCAATGTTTTTTGTTAGTTTTGTTTTTTGAATGTCCAGAGGACCAGACTTTTTTAGATTAATAAGTAATAAATTTATGTTTTAATTTAATGAAAGACAAATCTTTAAAATTCAAGGACAAAATTTAATCTAATTGTTTTCAAGTCTGTATCTTATTGTAAAAGCAGTTTCAAAGATTACAGCACAGTGTGATGTTTTGCAATTTTAACATGAACCTTGTGCATATCTGCAAATAATAAAAGTGAAGATATTTTTAATACATCTTTATTGTAAAAATCTATACTAAAATGAAAAACACATGGGTTTAAAGCAGCAGGGAAGGCAGTAAGGTAGGATTATGAATCAGGTTTATAAGTTACAGCTCATGAGGTACTCCATTAGAGCATGACATCTTTTCCACAACATCGTGTGACAAAACCTTCAGGGTGTTCTTCTTCTAATACGTTTAGTGGTGGCTAGTAAGTAGCTTAAGGGAGCACTACCGCCACCAGGTGGTAAGACGAGTTGGATTCTAGTCCCCGCCTACAGAGCCGGTCCAGAAATGTACATGGAAACACAACAGACCCGAACCGATCTGAACCAACCCGAACTGATCTGATCCGCTCTGTGACGGTGGAAAAGGGGCATATAATGTAAAATGAAACCTCCAGTTTATCCTTTTTCCATCTCCGTTCAGCTCTGCGGCACTCCTGTCTGACTGCAATAGTTTTTTCATTAAACCAGGGTTCAGATCTGGCTTTAGGCCACACCAGTTTAGATGGAGCTACACAGTCCAAAATGGTTTGACAGGAGAAGTCAAACCAGGAGCTCAGCTGTTCAGTGTCAACAGCAGAGCCAGAGGGAGCACAGAGCTGTTCAAAGGCAGCAGAGAACTGACCAGCGGTGGAAGGGTTAAAAACTCTACGTTGCTGGGCAGGAGCGCAAGATTTAACTGGAGCACAGGACAAACCAACATCAAATAAAACAGGCCTATGGTCAGAAATCACATTATCATATAGTTCCAGGTTGTTCACAGACAAGCTGTGAGAGAGAACCAGGTCCAACGTGTGTCCATGCTCATGCGTGGGACCAGCCATCCACTGAACCAGGTTAAAAGAGTCAGTGAGGCTGAGAAAGTCCTTCACCAGTGGTTTCTCTGGGCAGCATACATGTATGTTAAAATCCCCAACAATAAGGACTCGATCATAGTTTATCATTATTCCAGTCAGGAAATCAGAAAAGTCATTCAAGAAATCCTTATTATATTTAGGGGCTCTGTAGATGACAGTGTACAGCACGGGGTGTGAGCAACCCACCTCAAATAAAGTCCCCTCGAAGCTGGAGAAAGAAGACGATGCAGAGCACTGCTTGCATTTAAAGTTGTTTTTATAAACCACCGCCGTTCCTCCTCCACAGCCTGACATCCGAGGGGAGCTTAGATAAGAGCAGCCGTCTGGTAGAAGTTCAACAAAAACACTGGAGTCATCAGCCTCAACCCAGGTGTCTGTGATGCAGAGCAAATCCAAATAACGGGAACTGAAAAAGTCCCGCAGGATGAGAGTTTTGTTTGTCAGAGATCTGGCGTTCACCAGGCCAATCCTGGCAGAAACCGCAGCATGTAAACTGACGGGCGCTAGGGCCCGGGGCAGCGTCTTCAAGCTCTGCAGGTTCACGAGAGAAGCAGGAGGGGTGGGGGCGAACACCCGCATCCAGGCCGGTGACAGGTAGCAGGCAGCTATCAACAGGATCCAGGAAACGCCAAGGTACAGCGAAAGACGGAAATAATCCATTTCTTGTCTGAGAAATGGACGTAGAACGGGCCAGGCAGATCTTTAGTTTCACCAGCTGTCCTCCACGTTTACCGCGGAAACGACGACATTTCTGCCGGGGGGGGCAGCGCAAGTGCCTGGAGGAGATGAGCTGGGACTCCTGACAGGAGCAGGGGTAAAGTTTTCTGTCCACCATAATCAAAGGCATTGAGATTGCCAACAACATGTCTAATATCCAGGAGGGACTGGTGATTGTACACAAGCACAGACTTAGTGCTGAGCACAAAACAGAGAAATAAAACAAACCAAACCAAGAGCGACAGACAGACAGCCACACACACTGGCACCATCTTGAAACTTGAAAATAATAAGTCTTCTTCATACACCAAAGTTAGTCATGGAATTCCTCAGGGCTCAGTGCTTGGGACAATACTCTTTACTTTATATATGCTTCCATTACGTAAAATTATTTAACAGCATGGGATAAATTTCCATTGTTATGCTGATGACACACAATTATATTTGTCCATTAAACCTAATGAATCCAATCAGCTATTTAGACTACAAGCATGTGTTAAAGACATAAAAACCTGGATGACCCTTAATTTTCTCCTGCTGAACACAGACAAGACTGAGGTTTTGGTTTTTGGACCTGAGCACCGTAGGAATTAATTTTTCAGTCTTTCTCCCTACTTAGATGGCATTAATCTGTCCTCCAGCTCTAATGTTAAAAACCTTGGTGTTATTTTTGATCAGGACATGTCTTTTATCTCCCACATTAAAAACGTTACTAGAACTGCTTTCTTCCACCTGTGTAATATTGCTAAAATTAGAAACATCTTGTATAAAAATGATGCAGAAAAACTGGTCCATGCATTTGTCACGTCTAGACTGGACTATTGCAATGGTTTATTATCTGGATGTCGAAAAATTTCTTTAAAACGTCTTCAGTTGATCCAAAATGCTGCTGCTAAAGTCTTAACTGGAGTTAGTAGGAGAGATCATATCTCTCCAGTTTTAGTTTCTCTCCATTGGCTACCTGTCAAATCCAGAATAGAATTCAAAATCTTACTTCTAACCTACAAAGCTCTCAACAACCTGGCTCGATTTTATATTACAGATCTTATTGTTCCATATTTTCCTAACAGAGCACTTCGCTCTCAGGCTGCAGGTTTACTTGTGGTTCCTAGAGTTTACAAAAACAGAATGGGAGACAGATCTTTCAGTTATCAAGCTCCTCTCTTGTGGAACCAACTTCCAATCTCTGTCTGTGAGGCTGACACATTATCCAGTTTTAAAACTAGGCTTAAGACTTTCCTTTTTGCTAAATCCTATAGTTAGGGTCGGTTTGGGTTTCCTGAGCTGTCCCTTAGTTTTGCTGCTATAGGCTTAGACTGCTGAAGGACAAACTGACCACACTTTTCACTTTGCTGCTGTCTACTTACTCTGCTCAACCTGCTTTGTATTTGTAATTATTTTTCCTATACTTAACATGTGTTTTTTTGTCTTTCAGATACACCTGGACCTACCATTCTGTGTTCGTCTGTCTCTCCTTCCTGTCCTCTCAAACCAGCCGGTCAAAGCAGATGGCCGCTTGTCCTGAGCCTGGTTCTGCTGGAGGTTTCTTCCTTTTAAAAGAGAGTTTTTCCTTTCCACTGTTGCCACTGTGCTTGCTCAGGATGGGAGACTGTAACGAAGCCAAGATTCAACTTGTCTGCTGGATTCCTTAGATAGAGAACTTTACTAATGGCTTTTATGTATGTGCATGTTCCTGTAAAGTGCCCTGAGACAACTTTGTTGTGATTTGGCGCTATATAAATACACTGAACTGAATTGAATTTAACATAACTAGTTTGTTCCACTTTGGAGTAAGCTGTTTGGGGGAAGAATCAGTTTTGTGTTGTGTGTTTCCTTGACTGATGAAGCCTTCTGGATGGAAGGTGAAATGTTCAAGCAAAAAAAAGAAACTGTCCAGATGACCTGACTGAATATTGTTGGAGTTTAACACAGTGTTTTTAACATCGATGTGAAGAAGACAAAATAGATGATTGTGGACTCAAAAGGAACAAACACACCTACACCCCCCTGAACATAAGCAGATCTGTGGTGGAAGTGGTCTCCAGCTACAAGAACTTGGGTGTACACATGAATGACAACCTCAGCTGGAGCAACAACACCGCCAGCCTGATCAAGAAATCTTATCAGAGACTCTACTTCCTCAGGCGGTTGAGACGAGCTGGTCTGGGAAGCTCAGTCCTCACCTCCTTCTACATGTGTGCAGTGGAGAGCATCCTGTGCTCCAGCATCAACGTGTGGCATGGAGGCTGCACAGAAGATGTTGGAGTCAGCTTCCCCACCATCACAAACATCTACACCTCTAGATGCAGGAAGAGGGCCACCTGCATCATGAAGGATCCCACTCACCCAGCACACACACTTTATACCCCGCTCCCTTCAGGAAGGAGTTGAGGAGCATTAAGTGTAGAACCACTAGACTGAGGGGCCGTTTACACGGCGCATATTTTTAGTGCATCCGCAGCTTTCTCTCTGCGGTTCTGCTGATCATTTACACGACACCAGTGGCCCCACTCCTTGAATCCGGAGGTTTCTGAACCCACCTTACAGAGTGGAGGTTTTTCGCTGACCCCCCGCTGATAATGTAAACATCTCCCGCTGAGGCTTTGTGTTAAACCACATGCGCACACGCACGCACGGACCGATGCTATATTTCTATCAACATGGCGGTGGATACACTGCTTTCTGAACTACGACTGATGGAATATATTTTAATCTCGTAGTTAATCTAGTTCAGATTCCAGGTGCTGTGACCGACATCTGTGTTTGAAGAGACACAGTCAGATCCAGTTCTAATATCAATGTTTATAGAACGAGGCACGCGCACACGTCGCGCTGCACTATAACATCTAAATGTGCTAAATAATAACAGTTTAATAATAATAAACAGTATTTATCTTAAGCTTGAGATATATAATGAAGCTCTCTGAGCTAAATGAAGCTATCTGGACATTACGTAATTCAAATTATGTGATTAAAATGATGCTAAACATATTGCATGCTATTAACGTTGAAAATGAAGACATCAGATTTAATTTTTTTTATTTTTTTTATTCAACACCACAAACTGATAATTAAACTGAACAACGAATGGATTGAATAAAAGAACTGAGGGGAATTTTAAATAAATAGTTCATCCATCATCTCTCTCTTCGACATCCTGCTGCCGAGCCTCGTTCAGAACCGGTCCGCCTGGTGGGAGACAACTCCTTCTTCTTTCAGGAAAAATAAAAACTCAGTTGGTTGTTTTGTAACCGAAGTAAACACAAGCTAACATTATTAAGAACATTTGATTTACCTGCTGTAAACCAGCTACTGATTATCATGGAGTAAAGTCCAACATTGTCGACTCGGTTCTGGTCCACTGAGCGACTGGTGTGGAGCTGTTAGACGAAGAGGTCCCGCTTGGCATCAAATCTGTCGACTCTATCCACAATCCAGCCAAAATCCAGCCAGAATCCAGCTTTAACTTGTTGTTAAGATGTTGTTAGCAGAGCTTTTTAGCTCACAGGAAACAGCGTGCCAAGGCAGCACGCATGCGCATTAGGTGAAGGTACAAAATTCACAGCGCCATCTAATAATGACCCGGCATGGTAACTACAGCGGATTCGGGAGGGCGGTGGGAGGAATCTTGCGGATGCATGTAAACCCAAAATACGACCATGTCAACGCGGATCTTTTCCTCTAATTAACATACGAAAAAAACTACGTTTCCCCCCATCGTGTCCGTGTAAATAGGGCCTGAGGAACAGCTTCTACCCTGAGGCTGTTAGACTCATGACTCTCTAACCAGGATAATCATTGAGCAAAAAATCACATCATGTTGCTACTGATCTGTTTCAATGTTGCTGCTGATCTGTTTCATGTTGTTGTATTCATGCATGCTCATCTGCTCACACAGACTCATGCTCATGTTCGTGCTGCTGTTCAACGTAATGTTTTTATGTCATTAGTGCTTAGTGTATATTAGTTGATGTTTTTCTTAGTTCATATCTTAGATGTTATCATTGTTTTTCTCTTACATTTTATTGTTGGATGTAACTGGGACCCTGTGTACATAATTTCGACAATAAAGAATCTCTGACTTAACTATCTTATACAACTTGTTGGAAATTGGAAAACTAGTTTTATAAGCAATCAGCAATTTCCTGCGGGATCAATAAAGTTCTATCTTATCTAATTATTTTAAATGGGGCGCAGCACTACCTGATCTAGAGAACAGTCTAGTCTGTTGGATATAGTGAAGGATGATCTTGTAAAGACGCTCTTATCTGCTGCGCTGTATTGCTCGATGTATCACAACTGTATCTTGTCCTTTATTTGTATCTGCTTGTCTTTTCGTATCAACAAGTACAGATTGAACTAAGTCAGAGAATGTATTTGAGTTTTTGTGTACGGGACATGAACTACAGGGAGCTGCTGGTGTGTGTTCCACCTTATGACAAGATCACCAGTAAACTAGAACGGCTGAAGAAAATAATAAAACAACTCCATAAAAGGACTTCCAGGAAATGAAGACATCAGTCGGAACTAGTTTAGACAAAGAGCTGTAAGAATGTGTGACACGTCTCTGGGTGGAGCTTTTGTGTTTAAATACAGAAGGAACTAAAGCAGACGCATCTTGGGGTTTTGCTGTATCTCTTTTGGTTTGGGGTAAGAGTGTCTCTTTTCAGCTGAAAGCTTTAATAAATGTTGGTAATAATTTTTAACTTGAATCTCTCTGACTGATTAGCGTCTTTTCTCCATGTATCTCTGAACCAATGAGAGGAACAGGTGAATAGGCTGAAAAGTCCGAGTTGTTGTATTGATTTTCCTTGACAATTTGCAGAGGGTTTGTGTGACAGAGAACAATGCTGGGAGTGTGGGATAAGATGCAGATGATCCACTGCACAACTGGAAAAAAAATCATTAGTATTTGAGTCATAAAAGAGCTCACCTGTAGCAAGGCAGCAGCCAGGTAGACTGACATGAAGACGGGTGTCAAGGTGGTGTGGCCACTTTTCATCAGGTGGATAGTGTACAAAAAAATTAAATGGCCAGGGATCACAAGAAGCAGGAGAACCTGAGCAGAGCGATGATTTGCTCCTGAGGAAAAAAATAAAATAAAAAGAATGGTTAATGCTTAATGGATGCTGTCTGCTCTGTGATACAGAGTCCTGATGACTCCTAACTTGTGCTCCAAAGGGTGATGAGAGTCAAACTGCAAATACTGGTCTGTGTGGGTGGGTTTGTGATAAGCATCAGTTTGCAAATGTCCTCTATCAGAGACTGAGACCTCACAGTCCAAGAAAGCCAGCCTGCCATTTTTTACATCTTCTCGTGTGAACTTGACGTATTTATCCATAGAGTTGATGTGATCAGTGAAATGTAAGACTTCCT